CTTTTTTCTTGTCTCATCAATCCCAATTTATCTGGGTATTGATAAATTCCTTTCTTTCTACATCTTACTTCTAAAAGGTTGTTACTAATAGGGTTTATATATAAATCTTGAAGGATACATCCAAATGTAGTAATTTGAGTGGGAAAAGGCAAAAGAGAGAGTGAGATCAATAGAGAGAGAGAAAAAGTCAAATTGAGAGAGAGTTGTTTCGTTGATATTTTTTTGAGATGTTTAAAACAGGTAAGGAAATTGAAGCTAGAACTAAAAAAGACATTAATTGTGTTGATGTGTTGACCAAACGATTGAAGGAGAAGAATGTCACCGTCGCTAATTTAAGGAGATAAACTATTTTTCATACAAGGTGTGAGATAAATGGTTATATTTGCTCTATGATTATAGATAGTGAAAGTGGTACTAATGTGGTAAGTTCATGCGTTGTGGAGAAGTTGAAACTTACATGCATTAAACACACTACTCCTTGTAAGCGACAATGGTTGACCGATTTTGGTGAGCTTATGGTTACTAAGAAATGCATGGTTTCTTTCTCTATTGGGAGATATTTCGATAAGGTTCTTTGTGATGTCATTCCAATGCAAGATTATCACATCAAGCTTGCAGCCATGACAATTTAATAGGAGTGCAATTCATGATAGGAGAAGGAATAGAGTTTATCTTGAGCTAAACAAAATAAAATATACACTTGCACCTTTAACTCCAGCCCAAGTTCATGAAGATCATAAACGTGTGAAAGAAGCAATGAAGAAATTTGAGAGAGAAAAGAGTGAGATGAGAAAGGGAGTTTATTCTGACATTCCAAAAGAGGAAAAATGAGAGGTTGTGTTGTGTGAAGAGAATGAAATTTCAAGTGAGAAAAAAAGTGAGAATGAGAGAAAAGAAAAGCGAAATGACCATGAGAGCAAAAAAGAAAAGGATGATAGTGAGGTAGAGAGAGAAAAACAAGAGAGTTTGGGTGAGGTTATTTCTTATTCTAACTCTAGCATTCCTACTTCTTCTCTTAGTTGCTTTGACTCTCTTGTAGATACTCATGGAAAAATATGCATTTAAAAACTAAAGTCATTGGATGAACTTAATCCTAAAGTGGCTGATACTACAAATCCTATTGAGAAAGTGAATGTTGATGAGAACAATAAAGGTAAACATAATTATTTTGGATCATAAGGCTCATATCAAGAAGTTCAACAAGGCAATTGTGGATCTAAAACCAATGAGAAAGCAAAAACGAGGGGATGTTATTCCTTTGCTACATAAGACCAAGTATGGTATGTATAATTGGTTTATTCACATTCTTGGTATTCCTAAAACACCTAAAGTCTTCTTGGAGGTAATGAACTACACTTTTAATTCTTATGTTGGTGACTTCATTGATTTTGAGGATGATGATATTTTGATGTATAATAAGTCACTAACTTCAATCGACGAGTTCAATAAGAGTAATTTGAGCTCTTTTAAAGTTGAGCATGACATAGTTGATTGTGAATTTCCACTTGTTGAAAAGAGGCGTGATGTTTGTGTGAGGAAGATTGTGAATGAGTTAGTTGATTCTTCTATTGTTCTAGTGTTGAATCGAATTTTGTGTGATAATTTGTTGGCATATGATATTTTCTATGGGATGAGACATAATTCTTCAAGTCCTGATGAGTGTGAGATTAATAAGGTGTTTTATACTAACGAGGAGGAGTTACATGACTATGAGCACTTTAATGCTTATGTGAATAGTTCGTACATAGAAGAATTGGTAAGTGGTATGATTGAGGATGCTTGGATATATCATAAAAATGTCAAATTTGATATATGTTTTAAGGATCTTGTATCCTCTTTGTCATGCCCGTTGGAGTACTTTATTGATGGAACTAAATTGAAGTTGCATGTATTATTCGCAATGGCATCTAGACAAGGAGTTCGTTGTGTTTATATAAGTAGGAGAATTTTCTATTGGGATGATGATGTTCACATGCTTTATAAGGGTGTATTTATACGTGCCAAGATTAATTAGGTTAAGTGGACACATGGTCACTATCTTGTTTTGTTCCTACCATTGTTGCTTTCGAGTAATGGATGTTGTTTGCTAATGCATGTCTTCTTGATTTTGAGAGATTTAAATTCGAGGATGAATTGTTTTGAAGAAGAGGGGAATGATAGCATCCATGACAGCCTACTGGTATTAAAGTTGACGGGCTTCAATACAAAATCAAGAATATGTTTATCACGAAAGAGGTGTCCAAATTCAAACCCAAAAGAAAAAAGATTGGGTCACACGAACCCCAATAAAAGAGTCCAAAAAGCTGAACGCTCAAAGTAAAAAGTTCCTATTTTAAAAGTTTCCTAGTTTAAAGTTTCCTAGTTTAAAAAGTTTCCTAGTTTAAAGTTTTCATGTTTTCCTGTTTTCCTAGTTTAAAGTTTTCTAGTTTAAAAGTTACCTAGTTTAAAATTTTCCTAGTTTAAAGTTTCTATAAAAGTAGGATTTAAATCCTATTCTATTTGGGATAGGTTTTCCTTATATATAGGGGTTGATTTTATTATTTAGAGACATACATGATTAATATTATTTGAGAGGTTTCTCTTCTTTACACCTTTATGTGTCGTGACTATGGATTTATCTTACAACCTCATAAGAACGATTCTTTAAGAGGTAAGATTAATTCTTAATTTGATATCTTTGATTTCCATTCGTAAATCAAAGAAGGTGATTAGTCTTATACTAATTGTTGTCTCTAATTTCTTCGTAATAAGGGTCTAGATCACTTTTGATCTAAGTTCTTGAATTGACTCTATTAATATCATAATTAGTCTTAATTTGCTAATTTTGAATACTAAGATCAATTAGGGTTCTTAGCACTTTATCTTAAAATTGGGAATTTTATTCCTGAATTTCACATATCTTTCAATTTCTGTCTTTAATCTTTATAATTTTACTTCCGCCTTATTTTCTTATTTACTCTGGTAACCAGATTCTTATCATAAAAGGTCAAGAATACCCTTCTAGAAACGTAAGAATACCATAAAGATCAAAGAAAATGACCTTTTAATGAATTCTATCGGCCAAATTAGTAATCTAGAGGTCCCGTCACCGAAATATTCAGTGGTTTACCAAATTGGGCTTTAGATCGCCAAATTGTATAGAGACTTAGGATTTTTAGGACATTTTGATGAGCTAATTCGGCGAGTCGCCAAATGAGCAGGTGTCCTCGCCGAATTTATCAGCCTAGACATGTTTCAGTAAAATGACCATAACTTTTTACTCCGTACTCAAAATAAGACAAACTTGGAGGAGTTGGAAAGAAGACTCATATTTTTTTATTTGATAGGTAATGGGCCTTTTAATTCATTATAAGTTGAGAGATATGATGGTTTGAATTTGACCTTTATATAAACTCATGCGAGAACTTAATTGATAGGAATACTTTGAACTTGGTTTGGTGTTTGAGGTTCCTTATGACCTTAGCTCACTTTCGATACCCTTGATACACTTGGGAAAGGATCTTAAAACACATATAAATTTTAGGAGTAGAGTTACGAGGTATTACAAAATGATTCGGTTGTTAGCTTAGAAATTTTGGGGTGTTACAAATACATTAATGTGCCTTTTAACTTGGCTCAGTTAAAACATACACAATCCTTGCTTCATTGACGTTATGAGGTTTAATATTCGCCACAACATTAGTGGCTTAGTTCTTCATGCTTCTTGTGGGCCTTTTTATGGAGAAAGAGTTTGGGGGAGGGGAGGGGGATACAAAAGATTGGTACACTCTGAAAAACTGAGTTTTTCAATTCGCATCTATAGCCTTCAACTTTGGATGTGCATAAATAGTAGATTAGTTCGAGTGTATTTCACGCAAATTGTTGTAAAGGACACATGTGTCTACTTATTCAACTTTATACAAGTTTAAGTGTCTACTTATGCACACCCAAAGACCAAAGTTGAGGACATGGATACTATTAAATTGTAATTTAAATTGTATTTACAATATAGATAGATAATTTTTTAAGAAATTATTATGAAATATATCTTTACTTTTTATTAATTATTTTTGTATACTTGCATTGAAATATATTGATAAGATTATCATATTATAAATTCCGTTAAAATTAATAATTTTTTTAATGTTTTGTTCATTTGTTTCATTATAAGACGACATTAGCTTATATACTGAATCAATTTTTAATTTTTCTCTTTTGAATGAAATTTATATTTTATGGGATTTTTTATATATAAATTAAATAACAAAAAAATACTATAATTTTAAAGAAGTATAAAAAAGATACAAGTTGATAATGTAAGGGTAGAATAGATATTTAGAAAGTCAACTAGGAAAAAAGGGTGGGGGATGACTATTTCTCAAAATTGAGGGGATAGTTTGATTTTAAAGTAAAGTTGAAGGATGCAAATAATTTTCAACATGATTCAATCACGAAGGAGAGTGAGGAGATGCATGTGATAACTTCTTCTTGAATACTCAGTTATTTTCAAATTATTCTTGAAAATATAAATAATTCAAAGTAATGTCATAAATATAAACAATTAACTCTCTTGAAATTATCAAATAGAAAATGTGAATGAGGGACAAAAATGGAAGAAATTTCCAACAACTCTATTAAACTTTGAACATTTAAGTTATTTTAAACTATAAAAAAAGGCTCAACAATTCACTTATTTTGAAATGAAGAGAGTAAGAAATATTAAGTTCAAAATCCAAAAATGAAAAATTTTCTTAAAGAAAATACTTTAAAATTTAATTTTATATAATGTGAATTCAAATTAATTAATTCAATAAATTCTAAAAAGAGTGAATAGTTATACCCAACAAATGGGAAAGAAGAATTGTCACTTCAAATCATTTGACATATAAGAACATACTAAAAAACTAAAGAAGACTTTTATAACTTCCAAGAAACTAAAGTGCATTTACGTAATGAAATTTAATTTCCCAACTCCTCCATAAATGTTTGACCTCTTTAGTCCTTCACCTAGATATTATTATTCCCCTCTATTTTCTCCCACAAAAATCTTGTTCCTAAATTTCTCCAAACCCAACCTCAACTACCTTTTTCATTTTTCTTCAAGGAATTTAGTGATAAGCTTTTCAATTAAAACAAAAAACACCTTATTTTCCTAGATCTATCTTCTTATCTTTATAATATATTTTCTTCCCTAAACTTCTTCAAGAAAACCTCAAAAGAAAAACCCATTTTTGACACTTTGACAAAAAATTAAAGAAATGCCCATGGAACGTTCAAACTCATCAGGAAGCACAAACTCTTCATACTCAACAACATCAAGATCATCATCATCACTAGTTTTATCCATACAATGCTTAAAAGGAAGTTCGAAAGGCGATGAATGGACCGGAAATATGTTGATAACTGGGGATATCGTGGAGGAACTTCGAATAGGTAACATGATTCTTCGATCACCGTTCAAGAATGGCAAAAATGGTATACAAAAGATCATGCATAATTCATTCAAGGCAAAGGAAACTTCTATTATTGTTCGTGTTAGGCGTGGATCTCAATCTGACGATGAATTATTCACCGAGTTACAGGTATTGAAATTTTTATCAAGAGAAAAATATACATACAAATTTTTAGTTGATTATATTATATTGTGTCTGAACAGGCATGTATCGTTCCGAATGAGTTTGGCGGAAGGAAAACTTATATGCTTAGAGCTATCGATGATCCTAATTATGCTGTTGGTTTTGTTGATCGGACGGAAATGGAGTGTTTGGAATTGCAAGGTACACTTTTTCCATTAATGTTGACTTTTCTTTTTGTTTGACTCCTTCTTACATAGGTATTTTTTTAATTTATTATTGGAGGTGCTACTATTATTCTTTTGTTTTGCTTGCACTTGCCCATATATACATGCAACTTGCTTTCTTTCCACACGTTTTCACATTTTCATTTTGCATTTTTTCTTCTTCTTGATATAGTACTCCTTCGGTTTCTATTTAGTTGTCTATCGTATTAGATTTTTGCATACCTTAAAAAACTAGGTAAATTTACTATACGATTTTTTAGCTAAAACCATCCCTCAATTATTACTTAAATCTAATGTATATCCTTATATTATCTAAGTGAGCAAAACACATCCTTATATTATCCAAAATATAACAAGAATCCTCCTTCAATCTATTTTTGTTAAGAAACTGATTGAACTAATAAAAATATATTTTTTAATTTGGTCATGTCTTAGCCACGATGAGAAGATCAAAGTTACCTAAAAGAATACGGATATGGATAGGAAACGAATCTTTCATTCTCAGAATTTAAATTTGTATGTTGTTTGTTTATATGTTTTTTGCATCATCAAGTAAATTAACTTGCAACAATATATAAGTCTTGAAATATTTATACAATAGGTTCCGATGTTTAGAAAAATTATGTCAAAAAAAATTATTTTAAAAATATTATGCCCAACTATTTAGAGATTTTCTTTAATAAAATATTTAATACGTATGTACATTATTACAATGCAATTCATATTTTATAGAATGTACAAAAATGCTGGAAATTTAGTGATATTATGTAGGCGTTTAATTATGAAAATAAAAAAAATAATTACTTTATTTGAAAATTTTGAAGTTGAAGTTGTATTTGGCCATACTTTTTACAAAGAATATATAGAATTTGAATCTATTGTCTGAATATGATTTAAACCCTCAATTTCTAAAAATTAGAAAAATCACCCACCTTGACTAGCTTAACCATGTGTACATATATTCATTCGACTTGACACATTTTTTTTGTTGGTGACGTGATTTTCTTACAAAAAATAGACAGAAGGATGAATCTTGCAACTTTTTGGATAGTGCAAGGTTATTTTTTATTTACTTATATAACACATGGATATACTTTAGGTTTAAGTCATACTTGAGAGATGATTTTAGACAAAAACTCTTTACTATTATATATTTATTTAGTTTTCTTTTGAAATCAAATTTTCAATAAATGAACATGAATTAGTTTATTTGATTAATTTATTTGACCAATGAACATGAATTAATTATTTAGTTGTTTCTATATCGGTCAAATATATACTTTCAAGGATAATAATTCTCAAAGGTAAAATAGAAAGAATAGTGTCATTTTTATGCATCGGTTTGTAAAATAACTAGTATTGAAGAATATTTATACTATATGTAAATAGAAATGGAGGGAGTACTTTTTACAAGGAAAATATAAATCTAATTAGCATCTGAATCATCATTCTCTTTGCAGTCGAAAATCAATTTCAATTATATATAATCGTTAGTTTCAATTTATTAGAGCTATTTTGACTTGACACTTAGTTTAAATAAAATGAAAGAAGATCTTTACAATTTTATTGGTCTAAAATTAAAGATGTGTCAAATGTATCAAAATATTCTTTAATTTTGTGGTCATAAACATGCCACATGAAAAATTGGAATTAAAGAATTGCTAAAAAAGAAAGATAATTTTTTTAAACGAATTAAAAAAAGCACGTCAAACAAATTGAAACAGAAAGAAATAATAATTTTTTTCTCTTATTTTTGTAGAAAATTTAGTATATATATATATTGTTGGGGACTAGCTAGGAAGTAACATATACAACAAAGAATTTAGTCAAATAATGTACACAAAATGTCAACAACACCATATTATTGTAGGACTACATAGTGTACACACACGGAAAGAACACGTACAAGAGTACGCACTTAAAATGATTAACTTGGATCTGCTTTAGAGCCCCCGGAGCCAGTCTCGGCCTGTTTAGTATTCTCTTGAAGTCAAGTTTTTTAATAAATGAACATGAATTAATTTATTTTGATTAATTAATTTGACCAATAAACATGAATTAATTACATAATTTTCCAATGTTAATCAAATACATATTTTCAAGACTAATAACTTTGAAGGGTAAAATAGAAAGAATAATATTATTTATGCATTAATTTTATGAAATGAAAAGTATTAAAAATATCTATTTTTAATAGGAATGACTGACATATATTAACAAGGGTGCACTTTTGTAAAAATACATTGGAAAGTGACTTTTCTTGATTGCTGAATATATGTGAAATGCTTATGTTATATTTTGAAAATTGAAAACCAACAAAACTTGTTAGAATACACAATGTCTTCAAATATTTTTTAAAATATATCATTTTCAATGCCATTTGTTTTTGTTGTTAAACGATTAGTTTTAAGAAAAATTCATTTCAAAGGTTGTTATGGCATGTTAGGCCCTTTGACTAGGTGTTTGTCTAATTTCTTAATTTTTATTTGGTTCTTGCATAGTCACATTGACAAAGATTGATCCATTAAACTATATTTATTTACTTGGAATGACCTAGTTTTGATAGGTAAATAATAAATTTTTAATATGATTAAAGAATGGAAAATATAAGACCAGAGACGTATCTAAAGGAGGCTCATCAGGTTCACGTGAGTCCATGGTTCCCTCCCGAGATCATATATAATAGTGTTATATTTAAAAAAAACAATGAAATATAGATGTGTGAACCCACACTTGAAATATCACATAATGCAATTGTGATTGGGTGCACGAGCTCTGCAAGGTTAGAAATTTGAATTTTATATTTATCTTGTTTTATTTTTCTTTCTAAAATTAGATAACACTTCTCTAAGTAGTAATTGGTGTACGTATGTATATATATATATATATATATATATATATAAAAGAATTAATTTTAGATCTATAATTTTATAATTTAACGGTTTTCAGTAGTAAAAACTTAAATGTCGTTCCGATCAAATTTGTATCATATATCAATCTTTTTATAACAATGCACTCATCATCTCAAAACCCTGGATACGCCTTTGTATAAGACCTCAAAATTTAATATTTATAAGGAACTACATCAAAATGTATTAATTTATCAGGATCAAGTAATATAATTTGATGAAAATGTAGAGTTTAACTTTTGTTGAGTAATAAAAATTAAATACAAATGCATATCATATATTTATTTTAACTTAGAATAAATATTGATTTTAGGTGAATTTTTTTCGATCCGATCCGATCCGATTCGTTTTTTTTTTTTTTTAAGGTAAGGATAGTGGGATGTGGGAGTTGTGGTCCTAGTGGAGGGGTTATGATGTGCCCAGAGAACAAAGTACTCCAATTGTGCCAATGGATCACGATATATTTATAGATATATAATATATGCTTGGCAAATGAATCTTCGTAAACTAATACGCCTACAAATATATTCTAGTGTCATTAGTAGTAGATTAAAAGAAAATTATTTAGATTGTGTTGTACTATTGTTGTAGTTTCTTCTTAGCATTAATAAAATAACCTGTTTCGACAAATAAATAAATAATTAATTGGTTGCTTACGAAGTCAGAGAGTCACGGGCTAATTAATCAAAGGGGGAAGGGGAGGAAAAGTTATAATTGAGGATAATTATTCGTGACTTTTGCAGGTATTTTTCCTATTAATATGTATTATATAGGAAAAGTTATAGTGAGAGAGGAATGTGTGGTGGTAGGGGTGGTGGTGATAACGGTGGTACCATGGTAGTTCCACGTACATTCAAATGACTTTATTTGTTTGCATTTAATGACGGTATGAATCTGAATGATTAAGATATTATATCATTAAGTGCATTTATTTTTATTAAGATTTTAACTCTTAGGGTATGTTTGGTATGAAATTTTTTCAATGTTTGGTTGATTTAAATGTTTTTGGAAAATGTTTTCTAAATCAATTTATTTCCTCAAATTTAAGGAAAATGTTTTCCCTTTAAAAATTAAGAAAATCATTTTTCGAAATTCTACTTCATCCTTCAATATTTTTTCTTATCCTACACCGTACTCCATATCCACCCTCCCCATCCATAAAATATTTGTTTTTTCCAAAATATTTCAAAATTTGAAAATTTCATTTTTTACGCCACATGCCAGCCCCACCCAGGCCCCCCATCATTTTTTTAAAAAAAAAACTTGTTTTGAAAATATTTCAATTTTTACGCAACCCCCCCCCCCCTCCTACCCCCCTACCACCCAAGTCAAGAAATTTTTTATACAAAAAATTGTTTTAGAAAAATATTTCAAATTTTTTAAATTTACATTTTTATGCCCCCATACCCCCCCCCCCCACATCGCCACCCCCTACAAAAAAATTATTTTGAAAAAATATTTCAAATTTATAAAATTTAACCCACCCCATATTCCCCCCCCCCCTCCCCCCGCCCCCCGCCGTCAATTTGTTTTTGAAAAAATAGTTTTAGAAAAATATTTCAAATTTAATTTTCCCCTTCTATTATTAAAAAAAAAAAAAAACACCCCTCCTGCCACCCCCCACCCCACCCTGGCCCTGGTCAATTTTAAAAAAATCTTTTTTTGAAAAATATTTCAAATTTAAATTTTTACGCCACCCCCACCCAGGCCACCCTGTCAAAATTTTATTTTTTTAAAAACAATTATTTCTTAAAAATATTTCAATTTTTTCATTTTTATGCCCCCCCCCCCCCTTCCTGTAATTTTTTTTAAAATAATAAAATAAATTGTTTTTGAAAATATTTTAGATTTTGAAATTTTCAATTTTTACGCCACTCGCACCGACCGCCCCTTTCATCACAAGTCACAACCATCACTATTGCTAGCTACTACTATGAACTACTACCACACTTACCTCCTCTATCATTATAATTATATCAATTGCCATCTTCTCCTCCATCTTTGTAGCCACTGTCATCTCCACCACCACTATCACCAATATAGTCAATTCTTACAACCAACAAATTAACTCCGCCATCATAACTAGCATCGTAGTCAATTACCACCATACATTCTTTTGTCACCATCACCATCACTACTACCGCCACCACTACTATCAACCACTCCACTATTGTGGTCAATCTCTACTATCAACCATGCACCTCCATCATCATAACAGCACCGTCGCAAGCTGCCACAAATACATCACCAACCACTACAAATTCTTCAACCACCACAATCAACAATCAACACTGTCAACTACTAACATCAACCAACTTCATCACTACAACTACCAACACCACTACCAATTCCATCATTATGCCACAACACCAACCATCTCCACCGTCATAACTATCACCACCACCATAACTAGTCACTAACAACAACTCTTAGCATCACCACCACCACAATAAACTATCTCCACCATTACTAGCAAATATAAGTATTTCATTTTATTTATTTTTATCAAATAATGATTTTTATTTTATTAATTCTTTTTAATTTGCATTTTATATGTATATTCAGGTGTCGAAAAATAAATCGTGTTAATCATTCAATGTTTAAATCTAGAAACAACATCATAATCATTCAGATGTATATTAGATCCAAACGCCTAAATTTTAATAAAAATAAATAAAAGGCCTTAATCTACGAAAATAAAGGTAAGTTTATTTACACCCTTTACTAAAGTATCTAACCGGGTCAATGCATGGATTACCGGTTTACCCTTTCAACAAATTAAAGTGTGTCAGGTAATAGGAATATTATGGTTACCTAATGGATTAATTAAAGGAAGATTCACGATCAATATAATATTATTATTTTTATTTTAAAAAAGATTTCAAATAAACACACACATACCCAAAAGTGGATACAAATATATATGCTATATATCCATGGATAAACACTTCCAACAAATATTTATGTCAAAGCGTTTGATTTACTTCTGATATCATGCATGTCCTAATTAATAACACAAAAAGGGGTGATGGAACGAGTTACTTAACTTGTTCCCTTCTACTACGATGCGGAATTATGAAGTATAGTTAAGTATGAACATAGTATTTTTACGTGGAAAATATCTGGATTATAAGGATAAAAAACCACGATCTACATCTCTACAAGATTTGTCACAAATTCACTAAAACAAGTGAGTCTCAATAGAATTCAGATTACAAGAATTGAAATGTAGGAATCAAGTCTAGTCCCTCAAATAACAACCTACACATATTATTGTGTCTCTCGTCAAAGCTACCCTTAACAATTGTTTATATCTATGACTATATGTAGGTTCAAGGAAGTCAAGAATGGTGGGAGCATTGACAAGGACTCCACTCCAAGAAGGATATGTGAGCTATCCATGGGAGAAGAGAATGAATGAGTTGCTAGCAGTTCCAAAGTCAAGTAACTTTTACTCCCTACTTCTCTTGCCAAAAGCCTCAGACAAAGTTTCAATTGGTTATAATGATTTAGAAGACACACTTTCTAGAGCAAATGCTTGGCTCATTGCTTCTCAAGCCTCTGGTGTTCCCATTGTTTTCATGAATATCCAGACTGAATCTCTACTTACCAAGGTACCTAAATATTCATGTCAATCTTTTCATTCACAAAAAAAAATAAATCTATTTTTTCAAATGAAATATATGTTCAGACTCAACTTCAATTTCACTTACTGTATCTTTCAACCTCAACTAAATATCGTCTAAATGTCTAATTGACCGGTATTTTAAATATTGAAGTTCAATATTTTACAAGTAATTGTAAAGAAAAGTACCCTCAGCCTAACTCAATCCCAAAACCTAGCATATGAGGGGAGGATTGCCCAAGACCTAGGACTGGACAGGTGAAATGTGGACAATATAAGATTGGTTGGAGGGGTGGGTGGGTGGGTGGGCACCATCAGAAATAATGAATCAGGTGGGCCTAACTTTGATACTATGCGAAGAAAAGAATCTTGAGTTTAACTCAACCCCAAAACAAAAAAATATCTTATTATTAGATGAAATTTATGTTCACATACAACTTTAACTTCCCATACTGGTTTTTTCAACCTCAACTAAATATCGTCTAAACGCCTAATTCACCAGTATTTTAACTATTGAAGTTCAATGTTTGCAACCCTAACTCAACCGGAAAAAAAAAGGATCATGAGGGAAAAATTGCCTAAAACCAAGGACTAAACATCTGGATCGTGAACAATATAAGTTTAAAGGGGCTAACATCAGAAATAATGAACTGGGTGGGCCTGATTGACTCTGATATCATGTAAAGAAATGAGTTTTAAGCCTAAGTCAACCCCAAAAGTTAGCTCATGAGGGAAAGATTATACAAGAGCATATAAAGATGTGTGACTCCAGCAGTTATTTGGTTAACGATTTTTGCTTAGCTCTGCTACAAATGGCAAATATATTAATATTGAACATCTATCTATGTAAAATCAAGTTATGACAGTAATTAACATTCCTCTGTACTTATTTTCTCATAGATATCAGGGGAGACAGCTTCGTGCACTGTAAGTGCCGGATCACTTTCTGATTTATCAAACCTTGCAAATGCAAGTTTGTATGGTTTTGAAGATTACCATGGAGTGGATATTGGTGTTGTTCGAGCAGTTCGTCTTTGGTTTTCCCCACTTGGAGGAGAGATTCCTATTGACATTATAATCAAAGAAAATGATGTAAAACTTGGATTTGCCATCAGCAGAACAGAAGAGGTAACTAACTTCTATCTTCCATCGCGATCCATACAATTTAACATTGATTATTTTACAACGTTAGTGTACATATTTTACTTGTTAGCATGTCGACATTAGTGTACATATTTTACAACATTAGTGTACATATTTAACTTGTATCCAATTAATCAGTTTGAGAAGTTAGATGTAATATGTTAAAGTACAAGAAGAAATCTTCTATAATCTTAGATCACATTTTTACTAGCTATGATAAAGTTCATTTTTGTAAGCCAAACTTGACCAATTGTTCATTCAAGATTAGACCATGTTAGTATCTCAAAATTATGTAGTATTGTAATGTTTGTTTGATCTTAAAAGTTAGAACATACTGGTTAGAATGAGATTAACTTACTTTAATTACGTAAAATATCGCTAACCATATATTTAAATTCTATTGTTTTTAACTTCTCATTATTATTCTATTTTTAGGGGTTTATTCACATATCACACAAACTTGACCAATTGTTCATTCAAGATTAGACCATGTTAGTATCTCAAAATTATGTAGTATTGTAATGTTTGTTTGATCTTAAAAGTTAGAACATACTGGTTAGAATGAGATTAATTTACTTTAATTACGTAAATCTCGCTAACCATATATTTAAATTCTATTGTTTTTAACTTCTCATTATTATTCTCTTTTTAGGGGTTTATTCATATATCATCAGTAGCTGAAGGTGATGAGGATGCACCTTCATCAAGATCAGGCCTTAGCAATCTATACAAAGAAGCAAGGAAAGAGTGCAAGCTTTTAGTTGTATCAAGAATATCCAACCAAAAGGTACTTCCATGGATCGTTTCTCCAATGGGGGCAGTCAGGTGTTTTGATACCATCTCTCTGAGTCAAAAATTGTCTTTGCATCGACATGCAAAGGTTCCCATTCTTATGCACGTGTTCCTTTGGGACCGTTCTGTCCCCGTGCCAAATGCTGGTATGATTAATCGGCCGAGGACTATTTCCCCGACTATGCTACCATCGTTGCCACCTGAAGTTCGGTTGGCACGCCAACCGAATGATAATCAGGTGATGCCATTGCCTCTAGAAGTTGAAGATGAGATAGGAAGTCAGAGTGATGAATCAGAACTAAGGCATGTCAGGGACACTGCTGGGGAATCTTCTTTCCGCTTCCATGATTTTTCTCTACCAAATAATTGGGTGTAAGTATTTTCTTCTAACGTTGTTTGATGTACATAAAGATGACAAGTTTTGTAACTAAGGGTGATCAGTTTAAGGGGCATTTGTAACAGCTTATTCCGCTATGGAGTTTCAATCATTAAACTCTATAATGTAACAAAAAAATTGCTGTTTAGTCAGACTTGTATGCATTTTCGAGAGCAATGGTGATGTCTGGTTGATTGTATCATGGCAGATAACAGATGAAACAAATAAGAAGCATTATTATTAGTTTTATGCTTCAACATGATTGCTTAAATTTTATGACTAATAAACAAGCTCTAATGCTGTACTCTTCACATGAATGAGAGTTGTTACCTCCCCTTCTTAATGTCTTCCCATTAATTTGCTCTGTTTACGTACTTTTAAAATATTACTCCCTCCATTCACTTTTACTTGTCATATTTTGATTTGACACACACATTAAGAAAACAATGATTGACATGACTATTTTACTGCACTTCCCTTGTCAATATTACTCTCTCCGTTCACCATATAAACATATTGCACTTAACTGGGTGATATCCCCCCAAGGGGTAGTTAGTTGCTCATACTTAACTCCCGGCAGAAGCATGAACTACGCGATAAAAAAGGCTCTACCAATGTCACGACCCAAAATCACAAGTCGTGATGGCACCTATGTTCCCAACCGATAGGTAAGCCAACCGAAGAAGTTAACCAATTAAACTTAAAATATAGAAAAGTAAGTAGAGAACAAATATCTTAAATACCAAGTCTTTTAAATAAATTGCAAAAAACTGAAAAATCACCCCCAAGATTTAGTGTCATAAGTACAAGAGCTTCTAAAAGTCAATATAAGTCTCTAATTATATAAGTTTAAACATAAGAAATATCCTATCAGAATACCAAAACAACCTAATAAATAGAGATAGATGAAGGTATGGGCCACATAATATCCAAGCAGCTCACCACAACTCAAAGATAATCCAAACTCAGACTCAAGCTCCAAGAAATGCGCTTAAATTCGAAATACAATCTACACCACAAAAGAGTGCAACAAGTGTAGTATGAGTACGAAACCACGTGTACCCAGTATATCTCATAGACCGACAACAAAGAATTAGTGATAGGAGTATATAAGAAAATCATCCTTTAATTTACCAGTCTTCATTATACTTATTAGTCAAGTTTCATCAAATAAGAATAAACAAATATCACGCAATGTCCAACAACTAATAAAGCACATAATCAACAAGAATGAGGGATGTAATGAGATACAATGCAATATGACACCATGAAATTAAATGACATGCCTCAGATGTCAAGTACTCTCTCAACCGTATATACGTGATACTCCTCGGAAATACATAGAGTGTTCATGACCCATAGGGGACTCGCGAGGTCCATATACCAACACGGACGATCTCTACGTGTCTGTGCGGATGATCTCAACGCACTATCATAAAATCAAACAATCCCAGCACGAACGATCTCCACATGCCCAACTTATAATCATAATCAATCCCTCGCACGTACGATCTCCACATGCCCAAATTATAATCATAACGTGATCTTAACACGGGCGATCTTCACGTGTTAGACCTTTACTCATACTCAATCTCATGTCAATGCATGTGCACAATAAGATATCAATCAAATGGGATGATGAAGCATCTCAATAATTGAAGTGTCTCTATGACATATAATCACCTCAATTATCACAAATATATGGGTTCAATAAAGAAACACAACCACACAAAAGAAATCAAGTCACTAAATACATCAGCTAATGCTCATATGCTTTGACATTCTCGTATTACAATCTATCATATTATAGTAAAAAATTTCCCTTTAAGAACATCGGTACTCATACCAATGCCTATCACACCATTGGTACGAGACCCTCATATTTCTCCCTTACCCATTATCTATTCCATTTTTTAATCTTTAATTAGAAAACGTCCCTCAACGAAGTCTAGGAAGTTTAACATACCTCGAAAGTTGAACACGTGCCACAAAGTGTTTCCAATCTATCAAATATATAATCCTCCTAAGAATACGAATCTAATGAAACCCATATTACTATATTTAGCTTCGACTAAAAATCGGGTCAAAAAGTCATCCCGAGCCACCAAATTCAAATATGAAATTTTCTTTCAGATTATGTTCACCGATGATAAAAAAAACTCGCACGCGTAATTTCAGCTAAAATGGATCGTTATTCGACCCCCAAATCAAGATTTTATTCTAAGAACCCTAAGACTATATTTTCTTAATTTAGTATAAATTATACACGTTTCTATCCTAAAAATCTATTCATAATCACAAAAAAAAATTAATAGAAATGATGAGAATAATTACCTTGATGTTTTGGGATGAAAATCCTATTTTTCTCTTCTCTTTTTAATTTTCTTTTCTCACTTTCCTTTCTTTTTCTCCTCTGCCTTATAGATTTTTTTCCCATGTTTCTGCGTAATGCTGCTGCGAACAAGTAACAACAGCAACCAACTTTAACCTATTACTATTTTTTTAATTTATTATTATTATTATTATTTTGGGCTTGACCTTTTTTTTTTCTTTTCCTATTCTTATTAGCAACAAAATTATTTAATCTGAAAGTCATGTCACTCATTCCCACAAGTCATAAATTATTTATAAAAGTTATTAAATAGTTCATATAAAAAAATTGGCTAAAATTCATAAAACGACTAAGAGGGTGGTTACATCCAACAACCCCCAACTCTTCCTTAAGTGGAACATATCACTTTTTGCCGCTTCTATTGAAATGAGATTTAATTCCTTGTTAAATCGTATTTACGAAATAAAATACACTCAAAGTATAAACTTATACAAAACAAAATTCATACAACAAACATAAGACATAAGTTGAAAACTATACAAAATAGAAAATTAAATTTAATTAAGATCTAAAGCCTAAGCTCTAAGTCAATCTCCTCTTTGTCACCAATACTCGTGTTCCTAATTGATGAATTAATAGATTCAATTGACCTACTAGGCAGTGGAGCATTAAGAATTAACTTGATCCCATATGGAACCTGTTGACTATAATTAGGGGCTAAAAAGTCTGCATTATTAAGTAGAGGCCTCAGGTGGAGGTGCATGTGTAGCAACATGAGGCACTTGCAACACTGTGGCCAGTTGTGATTGGTCATAAATCAATTGTGGACGCCCAAGAATTTTACGAGCCCCCTCCACCATTGGTTTCTTAGGATGGGGACGATAAAAGCGCCATTGGCTAGGTAACACGATTTGGTTAAACTTTCATTTACCCAACTAAAAGAGGATGGCTGGAAGGTCAGTGGATAGACAAAAATAACTTGTGATGGAGTGCACCTTTTATCCAAGTGCCCTAAGATATGTACTTGTGTTAGTGCCCAACAAGCCCTTGGCTCGAGGTGAACACATCATTGCATGTCTTGCAACTCCTGTAGGCTTCAATATAATACCTTCTTGGACTACTCCACTTGTAAGTTGTAATTGCTGCATTTTATGTAAATAATTATTAGGGTCTGTTTGGAAAGCCGCTAGGTAATTGGAATTTGTGTATGTCACGACCCAAGCCTAGGGCCTAGACGTGACCGGCGAATGGGGAACCCGAAGGAACCCCAAACAAGCCTCATAGCGTATCTTACACATCATTGGTCGCGGAAGCAATTAAAATGACCATAAGCGATAAGCATAATCAAGGGGGAAATCGGGACTAAGGGAGCAAGAAAAAAAAAAAGAAGAAATGATACATAAATACCATAGATGAATCAAGCTCAAACATAATACACAACTTGTCCAACACCACCTCTAAACATGAGTACTTAGCGGGGGCCAAGACAAACTACCGGGCTCACCCTCATAGTCAAAACATAACTAAAAAGAAAAGTCTTATACATAGCAAAAGATCATGAGCAACGTCCCCGAAATGGAGGACTCACCAATAACCTTGATAGGAAATCGTATTAGCCATGCGGAAGAGGATGGTCAAGCGGTGCTCCGGTCCCTACATGGTGACATCATGTAGGCATAGAGTATGCGTTAGTACGTTTGAATGTACTAAGTATGTGGGATGCAATGCAATGCAACAAGGGATGGACATCATAGGCAAAATGCATAATCGTACCCGATAGATAGCATATTAATGAGATGATATGTATAATGATGCTTATATAAAAATCATATTTAGTAGGACATAGTATATGTGTAGTGAGTGACCATCAATATAGTATTTCCAAGGCCTACCACCCCCTTGGAGAGGCGAAAGAGGTACAAACCCCTCAATATGGTTATACGGGCCTACTACCCCCCGTACTAGGCAACCAAGGTACAAACCCCTCGATACGGTTATACGGGCCTACTACCCCCCGTACTAGGCAACCAAGGTACAAACCCCTCGATACGGTTATACGGGCCTACTACCCCCCGTACTAGGCAATCAAGGTACCAACCCCTTGATACGGTTACCCGGGCCTACAACCCCCCGAGCTAGGCTTGATCGACTCACACACTATATAGAGAAAATCATATACATGTATCCATTTCATCATCATTTCAATACTTATATAATCATCCGACTCATAGGACGTACATTGGACCTTCCATTTCATAAGAATTCTATAAATGGCATTTTATCAAACATATGGTGGGCTACTTGTTCATGTAAATAAAATCATGTGTTTCAAGAGTACTAAGTCCAACCAATTTCAAAATCCATATAAAACAGCCCACCAACAACATACATATATATATACATATATAACAACCTTCATAATTTGATCATTGAGGCATGAAAACCATAAACATCATATAATCATTCCATTTCATGATAATATACAAAAATAGACCATAATAGGATGTGTAGTAATAATTCCATAATTCAAGAGTTCATAAATGATCATAAGGACCCATAAACTTGAAGTAAAATAGAGGATAAATGGTTGGACTTGTGGAAAGGAAGGTTTCCACAATCAACCCACATACCTCAACTTTGGAGAATTCTTGATGAAGATTAGAATGGAGAATTGCTTGAGATTGAATCTTGAATCCGGAATTAAAGCTTGGGATCCTTGAATTTGGTTGATGATCTTGGTGGAATTTTTGGAGAGGGTTTAGAGAGAGTTTTTGGATGTTTTGAAGTTAAATGACTAAGTATGGATATGTCCCCTTTTTATAAAAACAT